GCCCGATGCGGGACTCGATCCCGGGACTCCAGGATCATGACCTGAGCCGAAGGCAGTCGCTTAACCAACTGAGCCACCCAGGCGCCCCAGTCTTATGGGCTTTTAAAAATAAATTTTTTTAAAATTTAAACTCAATTTAGTTAACATATAGTGTATTATTAGTTTCTGGGGTAGAGGTCAGTGATTCATCAGTCTTAAATAACACCCAGTGCTCATTACATCACATGCCCTCCTTCATGCCCATCCCCCAATTACCCCATCCCCCTCCTCCCTCCCGCCAGCAACCCTCAGTAGGTTTCCTAGAGTTAAGAGCCTCTTATGTCATATGACTTCACTCATACGTGGAATTTAAGAAACAAAACAGATGAACATGGGGGAAGGGAAAGAAAAAAATAAAATCAGAGAGGGAGACAAGCTACACTTTTTATACGTTCTAGCAGTGTAACCACAAGCGAGCCTGAGCATTCTTTTGTTTCCTGTGTCTCATATTCTGCTCTTCTGTTTGTGTCCACAGTGAGAAGGGACTTCCTAACACCTCTCCAGCAGACGCAGCCCAGAGCCTCATTTTCACGTGGATACAAATTATATTGTGTATAAACATTATAATTTCACAGCTTCTCTAGAAGGTAATTAAGCATTAAAAAAGTGTTTTCTAAAAACAAAAGTTTTATCTACATTCCATCTACAGAATCCCACTTTTTTTTTACCATAGAAAAAATTCACATTTTTATGTGCAGTTCTGAATTCTGACAGATGCAAGACTTGCAGCTTCCACCAAAACATTCAGTTTTGCCCCTCTGTAACTAGCCCTTCCCCTAGCTGTAAGGGGCAATGACTCTTCATCTCTGCTAACGAAGCTATCTGTGTTGGAAGGCAGAGCACTAACACACCCTCTCACTTCACGAGATCCTGAAGATTTACGTCCCCTGGGAAACCTGAGCCACTCTGGAGTGTCTTCTTCCTGGGACTGGACTTAGTATTAATAATGGGAAATTTCCTAACAAAAAAAATATTTAAACCCATGTCAGCCTTATCTCAAGTTATTTCAATTGTGTAATTAAGAGAAAAATCAGCAGATATATCACTGAAGACACATAAATTATGTGTGTGTATAATGCAGAGCTTTTTATTCCTTGAAAATACACAGCAAACCATGCTTATACGTTACAATAAACTCAATATTCATTTTTTAAAAATAAATCTAACATTTGTCATCTACAAAACTGCCAAAAATTAACAGGAGACATTACTTGGTGTCCACAACATAGGGTACGGAAGAAAACCTTTTTTCCCTTTGAGGCTGGGAGAAGGGGAGGGCGTGGCTGCTGATGGGCGCGGGTTTCTGCGCAGACAATGCTCTACCCGAGTGGTGGTGGCTGCGGTTAGGCGAATATACTGAGAAATCACTCAACTGTACATCACTTTATTTTTATTTTTTTTTAGATTTTTTTTATTTATTTGAGAGAGAGAGACAGAGATAGTGAGATAGAGAGCACAAGTGGGGAGGAGAGGGAGAAGCAGGCTCCCCAGAGAGCAGGGAGCCCGATGCGGGACTCGATCCCAGGACCCTTGGATCATGACCTGAGCCGAAGGCAGACGCTTAACCGAATGAACCACCCAGGCGCCCCTGTACATCACTTTAAAAGGGCGAGTTTTATGGTAAAGTGTATCTCAACAAAGTTGCGATAAAAAATTCTTAAAAATGGGTTGGGTTAAAAAACCCAACAATTTCACTTCTAGGAAAATTTCCCAAGTAACAAATTAATATACAGCATGGTCTACTCTGCATAAAAAACCCACATAACTATGTACCCCCACATACACTTCTATGGATGGGCAGGAGAAGGTGTGGAAGAATATCCCAATCCCCAGTCGCCAGGACAGTCATCTCTGGAAAGAACAGGGTGGACGAGGGACGCCTGAGTGGCTTAGTCATTAGGCGTCTGCCTTCGGCTCAGGTCACGATCCCAGCATCCTGGGATCGAGCCCCGCATCAGGTTCCCTGCTCCGTGGGAAGCCTGCTTTTCCCTCTCCCACTCCCCCTGCTTGTGTTCCCTCTCTGTGTCTCTCTCTGTCAAATAAATAAGTAAAATCTTCAAAAAAAAAATTAAAAAAAAAAAAAAGAACAGGGTGGCCGAGGAAGGGAGGGGACTTCATCTGCAGTCTGAATGCTTTACAACAAGAACGCTTTCATGTATTACTTATGTAGCCAAAAGTAAGGATGGACACAAAGTTAAAAGTGACTTCAAAATCAGATGGAGTGATATGTAGTGTAATTCGTTCACTGACCCCCCAGGCCCCCTGGAGCTTACCGGAGCGCTCGGCTGCTTATCGGCCTCTTCACCCTCATCTTCTGAGTCACTGGCCGAATCTTGACAGCTCGTGCCGGTAGGTGAAACTGGTAGCTGAGAGAGAAAGGTCTGGAGTACTCTTAAATACACCAGCAGTCCTTCCTCAGAGAGGGTCCCTTTGTAAAACAGTCAGTTGTAGTATTTCATTAGAAATGATCAAACAGAAACTAGAAAACTCAGGTATCATTTTTCTTATATTCAGAGAAACATTTCTGACCACATCTTATTATCAAAATTCTAACAACTCATGTACAGATGTATTAAAATACATCAGAGAAAGACGCTATAATTCTAGAATAGGCACACATTAGAAGTTTAGCATAAGTGGGGATAACATCCCTGCACTCACAGGAGTTCTCCCATTCAACTTTAAAATTCTTTTTAATCTGTGTGGCCTGGTAACATGTACCTGAATCAAGCCTTTTTTTTTTTTTTTTTTTTAAGTAATCTTTACACCCATGGTGGGGCTCAAACTCACAACCCGGAGATCAAGAGTCACATACTCCACTGATGGAGCCAGACAGGCGTCGCTGAATAGGGACTTTTTTATGTGCCTAGAAACTTTCCCCACTGTCTAGGACACAGACCTTTAGCAAATACACTCTTACAAGAAATCCACCCCCTCCCCCAGGGGCCACCTTGACAACATACACCTGGCACTGGATTTGCTTCTCTTTTGACTTCTATCTGCCAGTACTATGTAAATATGAGTTCAAGTAGAACACGTCTTTTATCTCATACCCAGGTAATGCTCGCCAACAGTTAAGACAAAGAAGAAGAGCCACGGTGCCCCACTGCTCGTCTTGGAGCGCCTGCTCTCTGGGAACAACAGTGCGCTCAGGAAGGGCTCGTAAGGGAAAACAGTGTGTGCATCCGCTAAGGCTGGAATGATGAAATGAAAAATCTGATCTGTAAAAGGTGCTGCCAACAACTCCTCAGTGAAGGCGCTAAAAACTTGTTGCCTGAAAGAAAAATGGAAGCTTTTATCAAAACATACTGTTCATAAAATCACCGATTAAAATTAACTTATGAAATATTCTTTTCTAAATTAATTGAAGTTAAGCATTCAGTATCAACTAAATTGCCTTGAAATTAACTGATTTTGTGCATTTCCTATTGAGAAAACTCTACCATGTTTTTATATCTTTCAATAGCTACTAGAAGACAGGAAAATAACCAGACCATCAGAATTATAAATTTATATTGGGATACAGGCCAAACAGAAATAGTAAAACTTTTCTTTAAATTGAGTCACATTAATAAAGTAAAAATTTGACTTTGAAGTCTATATGTAAAATAGCATCCATGTAAAAGTTATTGTTAGATACAGAACCTGTGAACTTTCAAAATCAGTAAATTATCCCATTCTCACCTTGCACCTTCTGGACAGGAGTTGTAAGTAAAGTGCAATGGTTTCAGAACATTCTCTAGCAAAATGTTTGCTATAGGAACTCGAGATAAATCAGAATATTCAATACTTGATGGAAGCTTGCTGTTAATTAACAAATAGAGAGATCTATAATACCCTAAAAGAAAGGAAAAACACATATTTAAAATTTGATACCTTCATCATATTGAGGAAAAAAATGTGTCAATTTATAAAAGCTTTTTATAAATCTCCATGGGTCCAAATTTAAGTTAATTCTTCTTCAACTTTCCTTTTTTGTTAAATGTTACTAGTTAAACAGACAATGGCCCCCTTTTTTTAAGTTTATTAATTTTTTTTTTTTTTTTTAGATTTTATTTATTTATTTGAGAGGGAGAGAATGAGAGAGCACATGAGAGGGGGGAGGGTCAGAGGGAGAAGCAGACTCCCTGCCGAGCAGGGAGCCCGATGCGGGACTCGATCCCGGGACTCCAGGATCATGACCTGAGCCGAAGGCAGTCGCTTAACCAACCGAGCCACCCAGGCGCCCAAGTTTATTAATTTTTTAAAGTAATCTCTACACCCAACGTGGGGCTCGAACTCACGATCCCGAGATCAAGAGTCACATGCTCTACCGACTAAGCCAGCTGCGAGCCCCTTCAACTTTTTTATTAAGGAAAAGTTAAATACATAAGTAGCCTGAAATGGTATATATACTCCATGTACCCATCACCCACTCCTCCATTCATTGGGAAGCAAATCTAAAATATAATGATTTCAGTGTGTCATCAAAGGACTTTATTTTTCTTAAAAATACCATTATGACAGCTAAATTAAATTAACAATAATTCCTTGCTATCACAAGCATCTAGTCAGTGTTCAAGTCTCCAACTCTCTCTTGCTATAAATTTTATTTAACTAGTTTGCTTGAATCAGGATCTAAGTAAGGCCCATACATTGTGATGGTTTTCATTTGCCTCTTAAGCATCCTTCAAGTATTTAACTAGTTTTGTGGTTTTTAAAAAGCATGTTGAACTCATGGACTTAAACAGACATATTTCAATTTACTGCAGTGGTTATCCTCACTAATTCTCACACTGTCCTGTCTTTGGGCAATGGGGTAGGCTGTGGGCAGGCCCCTGAGCTCCACCGCTCATGAAGAGCATCTCCAGACTCACCTGTCCTCATCTCCTGACCTGGAGCCAGGACCTGGCACCCACCAGCCTTTTCATTCCTTTTAGAGGAAATGATGGCTTTGGAGACCAAAATATGGGCACCAGGGAATTCAAGCTGAAGCAACAACTTTTATGACCTTACTAAACTTTTAATGGGATTGCAAGGTGTGCAGTAAACATTAACTCTGGCATCACCAATGATCCAAACCCTACAGTCTTTTAAATATATTTGCCCCCCCCCCGCCTTTTTTAAAGATTTTATTTATTTATTTGATAGAGAGGGACACAGCGAGAGAAGGAATACAGCAGGGGCAGAGGGAGAGGGAGAAGCAGGCTTCCCACTGAGCAGGGAGCCCGACGTGGGGCTCGATCCCAGAACCCTGGGATCATGACCTGAGCCGAAGGCAGACGCTTAACGACTGAGCCACCCAAGAACAATCTTCAGGTGTAGTTTGTCCAGACACATTTGGTAGCGCACATTAAAAACACAATCCATTTGGTTTACTTTCTGAAAACAGTCCTACACAAATTTATGAAGAGGCCGCTTTTAGGCAACAGGCTTGAGCCATGGAAACTTGATCAGAGCACGAGGCTCTGGCCGAACACAGACAGGCCCGGACACAACCCACCTCGAAATAGCCATAGGTCCTAACGGACCAATGGGCTCCTTACAACCAGGCACAGTTACCAAAAAGGGAGAAAATTCCATATGTCCCCAGATGTCCTCACCTTCCCCGTTTATAAACAGGCCCCACCCACTGCCTCCAGCCTCTGCTCATTTCTATCCTCTTTGTTCTGCCTCAGGTGAATCCTTTCAAACGGCCTGGGCCAGCTTCCACCCCCACTGATCCAATCATCGCCCCACAACTGCGGCCCCCATCTGGTCAGACAGCCACCACAATCTGTACCTGAGTCATGACCACTAAACCCTGACTATTCAGTCCTCTATCTTTACACCTACTTTGTAACTCCAACTCCAACCTCATGTATTTTGATCACTAGTGAAACTCAACAGAGACCCTTGAAAGCTCTTTTGCTATGAGACTGAGAAGATGGAAGTGGGTGAGACAGATGAAGGGGATGAAGAGGTACAAACCTCCAGCCATAAAATCAGTAAGTCACGGAGATTAAGGAAAAAAAGAAAAAAAGGACAGTATAGAGAATACATCAAGAATTTTAAAAATATTATGGGGTGCCTGTGTGGCTCATTCTGTTAAGCATCTGCCCTCAGCTTGGGTCATGATCTCAAGGTCCTGGGATCGAGTCCCGCATCAGGCTCCCTGCTCAGCAGGGGAGCCTGCTTCACCCCAGCCCGCCGCTCCCCCTGCTTGTGCTCTCTCTATGTCAAATAAATAAATAAAATCTTAAAAAAATGATACCGTTAATATGTCAACATCAATCTCTGTACGTATTGAACAGACTACCTGACAGCATGACTAGAGTATGAAGTTCCGCTGCATTTGTTAAAAAGCTTCATGTTAAGTCACAGCACATACTGTATAATAATACAACCTATAATTAGTAAACACTGCCAAATTTTATAGACTCCTAATGCCGGGGAGAAACAGGTGAATGGAATTAAGAGGAACAAACTTCCAGTGAGGTCAGTAAGTCACGGAGATGAAAGTACAGCACAGGAGTAGAGTCAACAGTAATGGTGCATGGGACAGACGGGGGCCACACTTGTCGCGGGGAGCCCTGAACACCGCATGGAGCTGTGGCATCACCACGTGTCCCCACAGAAGGTGCCAGAAGCGGCAGTTTCACCGCAAGATCGTGACACACTTTCTACTTCTAGACACATTTCAAAATAATGCATTTCTTAGTTACGTTCTTTACACTTTTAGAAAACAAGAAAAGTAAAAATTCTCATGATTGCTCAGCCTTAAATCAATATACACAATAATGCATCAACTGATACAAAGGATGATTTCTAATTATCATTACTTTGTTTTTTAAAAGATCAAATCCCACAAATTTCAATTTACTTTTAGTTGACTCCCTAATTTTTCAACAAACTAAAATAGGTTTCTTTTTTTTTTAAAAAAAGATTTTATTTATTTATTTGAGAGAGAGAGAAAGCACAGCGATGTGAGGGGCAGAGAAGCAGACTCCCCACTGAGCAGGGAGCCCGACGTGGGGCTCGATCCCAGGACCCTGGGAACATGACCTGAGCCCAAGGCAGACACTTAACCGACTGAGCCACCCAGGCCTACCCACCCCCTTTATTTTAAACCTAAGCCAAAAGCTAAGGTTGAGATGTATGCGAATTTAATTTTTACAGTTCTAGTATTGGGGATTAAATTAGCTACGTTTAGCCTACATTAGTCCATCACCTCTGGAAAACAAAAAGAAACTTATTTATGGCTTTACCAGTGACTCCTGCCTTCCAGAACCACCTATAGCCCCTCTTATAACAAATAACACAGTTATTTTTTAATGCTAATACTTCTGAAGTCCAAGCCCTGAAGTGTTTGACTTCCTAGCTGTGAGATTACTGGTAGTCAGATTTTTATTTTTATTTTTAACGATTTTATTTATTTATTTGA